CTTTTGTTGCACAGATCGGTGAATAATATATCATTGGAAAGATGATTGAATTTAAAATTCAATGCAAAAAAGGGAGTGCAATTAAGAGTTTTGATCAAAAGTTATGCGAGTTTGATGCTAGATAGTCGAGCAAACTTGAGATTAGCCCAAAGATTTGAGTTTTTTCAAGCAAACTCGATATGTGCCTAGCATACTCAATTTTTACATAGCAAATTTGAAAATTCAATAGCAAACTCAATATTGGACCTGCTAACTCGATAGACGTCCACTAAATTCGATATTTTATTAGCAAATTCTATATTTTGAAATTGAGATTACAGTCTACATTTACACTAAAGTTCTATGTTTGAGTTCAAGTTTGTATAATTCGAAATTTGATTTTCTACAAGACGGTTTCTATATTTCAAATTCGATTTTTTAAGTTAATAGATTACATCTAATTTTTTTCGCTGATTAATATTAGCATTTGATTGAAAGATGTATCACCTATAAAGCTTCAAGGAAGCTATTGGTTTGACATCAAGATTTGTATACCAATCATTTGAACTATGTAATCTTAGTCATACAAAGAATTTGACCATTTTACAAAAGGTTTATTATTATTATTATTATTTATTTTTTACCGCCATAATTGAACCTAAAAAAATGGTCAGTAAAGTCTTCCTAAATTGGTCACATTTTAAGTCCACCACTTAAATTTGGTTACAAATCTAGTTTCTCCTATTAAAATTAATTGATCTAGAGAAGGCAAGCTGATTTTATTATTATTATTATTATAAAATTTTTTTTTGATGAATATATGTGATCCTCTTTAATGATTGAACTTTTCTATAATTACAGAATTTTTTAACAGACTTAATACAAGGAAAACAACTGTCAACTTGTAATTGGTTGTTGTCAAAATAGTTTTTTTTTGCAACGGCTTGCAACAGCCAATCACAGGGAGACAATTCTGTTAAAAAAAAAATTCAGTAATATTTAAGCTTTTAGACTATACACTCAACAAACTACTACAATATGTATATTATTTATATATGCAAGACGTCATATAAATAACTATAAGTAAATTATGGATTTTTAAAATACCAAAACAAGATTCATGTTGCCTAAATCACATCGTAATTTTATGTCTACTAGTTTTCCACCCGTGCAATGTACGAGCTATGTCATTCTTTAGGTAATATTAACGGGTCAAAATATCTATTTATTTCTCTCAATAAATCTACAAATTTGATTAATTGTTGCGTAAAGGGATGGAGAAAAGAAGTATATATTTTTTATAGATGTTACGTAAAGGAATGGAGAAAAGTAGGAAAAATAGTATAAAAATTTATAACCATATAAATTATAAAGTGATAAAATTTTATTAGAAATTTTTACGTCCAAAAAGAAAAATGATCGACGTCATACACATTATTTTTTTTTATAAGAAAATGATATAAATTATATTGAGAAAATTATCGCGACAAAATAATAAACATTAATAAAATAATTGATTGTTTTAAGAAAAAAAACGAGTTATACGCATTTTTTTAACACACATATTTAATTTGATGTACATTTAACTATTTTTCATATTCATTTAAATCATTCGATGTGTCTATGACATAGTTCTCGAAATGAGTTTCGAGAGAATATCGAAAATTTATGCATTCGACTACTGTACAATTGTCGATGAATTTATAAAATTAGTTTGGTATCGAAATTCTTAATTTTTTAAATGATGTCTCTCTTGGCATTAAAAAATTTAAAAGTTTATTAGGAAATTTTCTAAACCACGTTAAAAATTATTGTCGCGAAAAAACAAATATTAATAAAATAATTAATTTTTCTTAAGAAAAAAGACGAGTTAAACGTATTTTTTAACACACACGTTTGATGTACATTTAACCATTTTTTATATCCATTTAGATCATTCGATGTATTTATGATATAGTTCTTGAAATGAGTTTCGAGATAATATAGAAGATTTATGGTAGATATTTGTAAAAAAACTAAACAAATTACCGAGTGAAAAAAATTTGACAAAAAAAAGGAAAAATAATTGAAAAAAAAAATAAACAAAGAGCAACTCGGTGCATCATCGAGCATTTGCTCCGTGATGGACGAAACAATTTTGCTCCTAGGTGCCAAGGGCAATTTTTTTTTTTTTTTTTTTTTTCCTAGGTGCCAAGGGCAATTTTTTTTTTTTTTTGTGTCAAATTTTTTGTCAGTGGGTGATACATAATATATTGTTTTAATAAAATGATGTAAATTATATTAAGAAAATTGTTACGAAAAAATAATAAACATTAATAAAGTAATTTATATTTTTTAAAGAAAAAAGACAAGTTATACGTATTTTTTAATATACACGTTTGATGTACATTTAACTATTTTTGATTTTCATTTAAATCATTCGATATGTTCATGACATAGTTCTCGAAATAAGTTTCGAAAAAATATAGAAAATTTATTCATTCGACTACTGTACAATCATCGATGAATTTATAAAGTTAGCTTGTTATCGAAATCCTTAATTTTTTAAATGATGTCTCTTTTGACATTAATAAAATTTAAAAGTTTATTAAGAAATTTTCTAAATAACGTCAAAAATTATTGTCACAAAAAATAATAAACATTAATGAAATAATTGATTTTTTTTTTAAAAAAAGACGAGGTATTCGCATTTTTTAACACATATGTTTGATATACATTTAACTATTTTCAATATTCATTTAAATCATTCGATATGTCATATAGTTCTGAAAATGAGATTCGAGAGAATATAAGATTTATGGTAGATTTTTATAAAAAAAATAAATAAATCACCCAATGAAAAAATTGACACAAAAAAGATATCAATCAAACCTAATGAAACTAAAACCAAAAAAAATAAAATAAAATTAGCATAGAGTATCATTTAAAAAAAAAAATTTATTGCACTTGCTCCGTGCATCACGGAGCTATCGCAATATATATATATATTACAAATCTATTTCGTATAACTTGTCCTTTTTATTAAAAAAATCAATTATTTTATTATTTTTTCGCTACAATAATTTTTGACGTCATTTAGAAAATTTCCTAATAAACTTTTAAATTTTTTTAATGTCAAAAGAGACATCATGTAAAAAATCAAGAATTTCGATAACAAGCTAATTTTATAAATTTATCGGCGATTGTACAGTAGTCGAATGTATAAATCTTCTATATTATCTCGAAGCTCATATTAAGAACTATGTCATAAACATATCGAATGATTTAAATGAATATTGAAAATAGTCAAATGTATAAAAAAATTAATTATTTTATTAATGTTCATTATTTTTTCTCGATAATTTTCTCAATATAATTTACATCATTCTCTTAAAAAAAATATTATGGGGTATGGCGTCGACTATTTTTTTTTTTTTTTTTTTTTGTTGGACGTATAAATTCAAATAAGGCAAAATAGCATCATCACACACGCCTACACAATTAGTAGTGATTTCAAGAGTAAAGTGAAATATTATGAGATATTCAAGGGTAACATAAAGAAACACAAAATACGTCCCGAATGAATAGTGCTCGCCACATTCATTTGTTTATTGTAGTAGGTCGACGATTGTATGATAGCTGAATGTATAAATATTCTATATTTTCTCGAAACTCATTTCGAGAATTATATCATAGACATATCAAATGATCTAAATAAAAATAGTGAAATGTATATCAAACGTGTGTTAAAAATGCGTACAACTCGTCTTTTTTCTTTAAAAAAATCAATTATTTTATTAATATTTATTATTTTTTCGCTACAATTTTCTCAATATAATTTACATAATTTTTTTAAAAAAAAATATTATGTTGTATGACGTAAACTATTTTTTTTTGACGTAAAAACTCAAAATACGGCATGAATGAACAGTAATTGGGGCATATTGGTTCTTTTATTGTAGTAGTGATGGTAGACAATAGAATAGAAATAAAAATAGATAATAGAGAATGAACATGGAGTTACAGTAAATTACTCGTTTAAGTCAACAATGGAAAGTAATAAAGCAGTTGTATTAATTTCATTTCTGTGGATGAACAATAGAAATAATTAAAGCCTATTTTCAGTGAAAATAATGCTGAACGAGTTTAGCTACAGTAGGGAACTAGTTTAGTGTGAAAGCTCTACCTCAAGATGAATAGTAATATTGACACCCTCTCTTTAAAGGTAAAGGGGGGAAAAAGTGGGGATAAAAGAGAAAAGATAGTAAAAGTCGAAACCAGTTTAGGAACAGTTAACTCAATCAAGTGTAAAAAGAAGGACTACAAGAATGAACAGTAAATTTCAAAGCGACTCTTATAAGAGAAGGTAGGATAAAAAAAAGTTGGGATCCACAATTGACCACGTGGATGGCCCTCTCCATGCAATCACTTCAGCAGAACTCCCATAAGGATTGAGCCCTGCGCTTTAGCCTTTAGGTATACAATAATACAAGATTAATTATTATTATTATTATTATTATTTTTGTGCACTCTTGTCAAAGTGGAGTTCTTATTAATATCAAAATAAAATATATATGTAAAAGATAGACGTATAATTTGACTTTTACGGCTGCAATACAAATTTATATAATTTTCCAAGACGCTCTAAATATAAGAATTAAGCTGTTATCTATCTTAGACAGTGGCGGATCCAGGTGGTCCCTAGCTGGATCCGTCAGGAACTTTTTTTTTTTTTTTTTTTTTTTTTTTACAGTAGTTGATAAATATTTTATATATATCTGATAATTCATATTTGTTCTCAAGACCTCTAGTAGCTCATTTGGTTAGAGCCTTTATTTACAAAATTGAGGTGTAGGGTTCAAATTTTTTC